AATTGATACTTATCTGTTTTTAATTTCCACAGGTGGAGGAGAGGAAACAATCATACCTGGACTCATATGACATTGTGTTGATAAAGGATGAAAGCTTGGACGTCCCAAATGCAGTTGTACGTTTTCTGACTGACAGTAATTAAACTGTGACTTGATATTGGAGACTCTGGGACCATCAGCTGAGAAGGCCCAAGCTGGCCCAGAAACTTTCAGCTGGATTGTTACTGAAAATCACTGAAGAACAACACTGCCTATCACCCCTGCTTTTAATCTAAAAACAGACTTTAAAAAAAAAAATCAACTGCGAGTTTTATTTGATGTTTGACACTTTGCTTTTAGAAAAATATTTTTGTATTTTTTTTTTTTTTTAGCAATTTGTAATTTTAACTTTTAACTGTTTTCACATAACAGAAATGTGGTATTACTGTTCTTTCTAAAACCTTAAATTAAGCTGCTTTTGGGCACCACACCAGGAGTCACCACAGTGGATCAGCTGCCTCTATCTTACCCTATTCCCTGGCATCTTCCTTTGTCACGCCAACCCTTTGCATGTCTTCCTTCATTGCATTTTTGAACCTCCTTTGTGGCATTTCCATTTTCCTTGTACCTGGCAGCCTCGTGTTCTACGTAAAATGTATTCACTATCCTCCTCCTCCATATGTCCAGAGCATCTCAGCGTTGCCTCTCTAACATGTCTCTGTTTTATAACTTGGCATCTGGGTCTCCAAGCCGTACATGATGGCAGGCATCACTACACTCTTGCTGCTGCCCTCCTGTCACAAATCACCGTCAACCTCAATCTCCGGCGACTCCACCCTGCACTCTTCTTCACTTCTCTCGTGCATGTTCAAAAAGTATTTTCTTTGTTGGTCTAATCATCCGCTGACGGTGTGGCATAACAGTTTATGATTTGTCCTGTTGTCCAAAATAATTACCTATTTATTTACAGCTATGCCAGAAATAAAACTACACAAACACAGAGGTGGGCAGTGCATTTGCCTGAGACACCGGGGCTGTTGTGCAAGGCCAGACCAATTGAGTTTAGCTCATTGACAACACACAGAAATGTTTTTTGTTATAAAATATTTTTATTGTACATTGGTACACAGCCACAAACAACACTGTACAACCAGTGTTTTTTGACATATCACAGTTATAAAAACACTGGTGTAAAAGTTATTAATGATGGCTGAATCTCATATAGCTGCTTTGGGTTCAGAGTTTTGATAAACAGACGTTTTGTATGGAAAATAAAAATTTTCCAACTACAGGGCGAGTTGTCTGAAGTGAAAAGGCCCAGTAGATGAGAAATGAGTCCTGAAAAATTCAGAGCTGTTCCACAACACACTAAAACAGTGTTACCTCAGCCATTGCACGCCTGTACTTAATCACCAGTGAAACACGTAGATGTCCTCTTTATAGCTCATCTCTTGCTTGTTTGGACACTTCATCCTCTGTAACCGTCAGTTCATCTTCTACGATCTTGCCATCTTTATTACGGTCTTGATTATCAAACATGTCCTTAATAATGCTGTCGGCATCAATCCCCGGCCGAAGACGACCTTTGCCTCCTTGAACCTGGAGCCTGATGAAGAGGGAAAACTGGAGAATAGTGGAGGAGTGTCTAAGTTATAAAACATTTTTACTGTGTGCAGCAATGTTCCTTTATTTAAAAAAAAAAAAAAATTAGAAGGAAAAAAAGTCATTTTAGCTTCTCTTTTTACCTCCTCAAGGGGGACCTGTTTGTCTCCATCAAGGTCCATAGCAGGAAAGAGGGGATCAGGGCCATCCCCGACCCACACAAACATGTAGTCTTCAGGTACACCCTTCTGAAGCTCCACCAACTCCAACTCAAAGAAGAGCACTGCACTCTTTGGAACTCCTCCGGCTGGAGATGCCATTAAAGAAGAGGAAAATTACATGAAAAAGAACAATAAATAAATAAATACTGTGTATCTGAGTTTCTTGATGACTGACCTTCATTTTCACCATGGCCAAAGTGGGGAGGGATGACCACTTCTCTTCTCTCGCCTACACACATGCCTCTTAAACCTTCCTCCAGACCCAGGATCACATTATTTGCTCCCAGAGTAGTGGTAGAAGGTGAATCAAACTGGTCCCTGCAAAGTGATTCATAACTATTTTTAACAGAGAACATTTAGAAAAGAAAAAACAAGAAAAAAAAAACCTGGAGCCATGCAAGCATACATGCTTTTGTCATAAAGACAAAGATGGTATGAATTCGAGGCCCACGGAAATCTGTCAGACAAGGAGCCAGCAATGATTACATGCATGAGGTGGAGGGTGCAGTGTAGCAGAGTGAACAGCAGAGGGCGCTCACGAGGTGTACAGCACGGTACCGTCCATCAAGGAGCAATTGTAGCGGTACTGAATCAAATCGTCAGCTTCACTTCTCATGTTACACTCCTGAGGCTTATGGGTAACTTTGATATTGACTGGATCTTTTGGGTTGTGGAAATCAATGACGTGAATGTCAAAGACCAACACAGCAGATCCAGGAATGAAGTCTCCTACAAGATAAAATGAAAAAACAAAACAAGAAACATGACATTTATACACATAGAAGTACAGACGCTTGCGTTAAAAAATACTTTAGTAAAAGTTGAAGTACTGATTCAACTTCTTTACTCAAGTAAAATTGAAATAGTACAGGACCTGAAATGTATTCAAACTAAACAAGTAAAAAGTAACTCTTTTGAGGATGTTTCTATGAGCTATTGTTGTGCAAAGCTAACTGAATCTTGTGCTATAGTAATATAATAAAACAATTAGTAAATGAGAATACAAACTTTATTTCAGTCTGAACTGTAATTCTAAAAATTGTACTCAGCTTGAATCAGTTATGCAGAACACGAGCATTTAAGAAGAAAAGCACTATTTTTTTGTTGCATACATTGTAGACGATGACTTTGCCTCCACAGCTTAACAGGGAAATGAGCACAGTCAGGATTAACATGGGATTCAGCAGTTGTGCGAATGCTAAGATTGATTGTAGTGGTTCAACGTGGGGAAAAGAATCACAATAATTTCTATTTTCAGCAGATTTTCTTTGTGTACAGACTGTGATCAGCTGACTTCTACTGCTGCTGCTCTTTGTTTGATTTACACAACTGAATTCAACAAGCTGTAACCCAACATTTCACTTTGCTGATTTCCATCCCTCACACTGACAGTATACTTTTTACACTGTCTTTATACTAGATGGTATTCAGTTGCCCTTTTTCTGTAGAGCTAGCTAGATGCTGAAGTACCATGACTACAGAACATCTACACTCGTTCCGGTGCCAAAAACACTGGCCTACTTTAACCTGACTGTGATGCTATAGATTATTAATAAATTACATGGTTTTACCTCATCTTGTTGTATGCGATACCCCCTGGTGACTGATATACCATTAGATACACTATTGCCTTACATATGTAACCTTTTAGGCTCAAATCACTTTGATGTTTGAAGGCACACAGGGACATGGAATAACTCCACTCAAATTCCTTAAACCTAAAGTAACGAGTCTACTTTGAAAATGTAAGGAGCAGAAAGTACACATATTTGTGTGAAAATGTTGGGAGTAAAAGTAAAACGTTTTCTGAAAAATAATTAAAGTACAGATACCTAAAAATTCTAGTTAAGTACACTAAGTATTTGTATATCACTACTTCCCACCTCTGATGCGCTCACTCAGACAACACTTTAAAACCTCCTATTTGCAGACATCAAACTCACCGACTCCTTTTTCACCATACGCTAAGTGAGGAGGAATTATGACCCTCCTTTTCTCTCCTATGCACAGCCCCTGCAGGGCTTTGTCCATCCCTTGGATCACGTATCCCATACCGATGTAAGTGTTGTAGGTGCTATTTCGCTGATAGCTGTCAAAGGAGAGTGAGAGAGAGCTTGAAAAAAGGTTATTTGGATGATAGCTTATTTACTTTCTAAAAATGAAAAAACAAACAAACAAACAAACAAAAACTCTCAAGTGTACCTCGAGTCAAAGAGTGTGCCATCCTGAAATGTGCCATTATAGTGGTAGCGGATGTAATCTCCAGTCACTGTTGTGCGCGTGCAGCCTTTAGGCACTTCCTTTGCCTCCACGATTACATCATCCTTGGGGTTAAAGACATCAACCATCAGCACCTCGAATACCAGCGTGGCCTGAGGAGGGATCATAGTTCCTGTTGGGAGGAAAGAAGCATGTTCATGAAAGAAAGTTATTAAAAAAAAAATTAAAACTCATTGAACAAGTGACCACCTAAATCTTTTTTTTTTTTTTTTTTTTTTTTTTAAATCTACTCCGATTCAACTGAGGTTTGTTAAAGGATTATTAAGACAACTCTAAAACATCCTCACTCACAATTTTTGAAAATAAATATAAAATAAGACATTACAATTTAGACAGTACAAGACAGTACAATAAAAGAGATTGAATAACCATCCTGCAGCTAGCTTAGCCTCTGTTACTGCACTCAGCTCTTAGGAAATCCAAACCCACAAGCATTTACACTCCACATCGAAAATGAGATGACACATATCTGTGGTCAACACTGGTTACCAGCAAGACAGCCAATTGAATTTGAAAGTATCCATATTGAAGCTTTGCCCAGAGCAAACACCAAATAAGACAGCAAAGAAGGCCATCCAGTAAAAGTCAAAGTAATGGATTTTACTGTAACAAAATTTTGTCCCTACACACAGTCTGGTCTCCATTTTTTAGGATCAACTTTCAATCTTTCT